AAAGAATCACAGAGAAATGTGCGAGACACGCTTCTTCTGAAAAGATGATTCATGGGACATGGAGATGAACGCATACGCACGCATATATCTATCTACGGATACTATGCATATGACATCGGATCGGACATTAACCATTACGGGGATATGCATCTCGCATGAGATATGCAATCTATCGATACTTGATTAATAATTTTAATGATACTTTTAAACGAAACTCGATCGTTATGTGTAAAGATACTTTTACGAAAATAAATATATTTACACTCACCGCTTTCGATGTAAGGAACGAGCAACAGCAACAGGAGAAAGAGAACATATCCACACGTATCACTGATCATTGTAACCATATTCTCTGCCACGGTAAGAAGCCGTTGGCTAGATATTGGCACCACCTCGCGAATACGCGTAAACAACAATAAACAAAACAACAACGCGACGACGCGAGGAAGTAGCGATTTCGAATGATAAAGTCACTAATAGTCGAACAAGACACAGGAAACGCGACGCGACGATAACCGATAAAATATTGGCGCGTACACTTGGAAAGCTTGGTGATCCGCGGATGATCAAATACGAACCAATAATATTTCGAGTTATATTCACTACTCAGCCTGCGTAGCAACTAGACTCTGCGTAACACAGCACACATTCGATGGTGTTTTCACTGACGTTACGTTGTGAACGCGTTCTGTTGTTCGCGCGCGCGACTTTTCGGAACAGCCGAGTCATACGCGTCGTACGAGAATCAACGGAAAATGACGGACGGCCACGGCACAAAGGACACACGGCACGTCTCGGCTCAGGGTTGATGAGCTTACGCCATCGTTTTCCACCGATATTATCACTTACACGCGGACGGTCCTTACCACCGACGATCCGCCCCTCGTAACCTTCCTCCGTCGCACGGTATTCGTCTCCCTCTCGTTTCTCGTACCTTTCTCCACTATTTACTTCTTTGCCGCTCGTTTCTCCGCGTTGACTCGTAAACGTCGTAACAGCTGACCACTCTTTTTATCACACTCTCTTACCAGATGATCCAAGATTTAGCTGACGCATCGCAGCAGCAACAAAACACACACACGACGTCGGCCAGTCGCCACCGTTGCCACTGACAGTCCTACCACCGCTAGAATTTTCGACTTCCCTGTGTCATGGCGGCGAACTGTTTGTTCGAGCTTGGACCGGCAGAGGACGATAGTTACTGTTGCTGGAAAGGCGTTATTCTGACACGTGACGTCATTCAATGAGATTATAGGAATTTAAACGGAAATATGTTTATAAAAATATTTTATATAAAATGATTTATACAATTTTATTATTATATTATTACATATATAAATTACGCATATATATATATGCGATATCGAAATAAATATTAATATTGATCGAAGAATGTAAAATATATGTATGATGTATACAAAATTATGAAATAATATATATATCTATATGTATATATAAAATGAATAAATAAAAAATATTTACAATCTATTATAAATATTTGATTCTTTTCTTTGTTTGTTATTTTTATAGATGCTTTTTAAATTTTGAATTTAATGTTACATTTTTTTATTACGATTGTCAAAAATATTGCGTAATAAAATATGTTCATCTAATACATCTTATATACAAGGATTAAATTATTCAAATATTTTATTAATTTACTTACGAATTAAAGAAAATATTTTTAAAGTATAAAATAAAAATATAATCTATTTTTACATGGAAATAAGAAATTTCACGTTTATGTGGTTGGCTGCACTTCCAGTCATTCACATTCGGGAGTTTTAAAATCCCAATATGGATAAAATTTTAATATTATCTATTAAATTATGAAACTTACTTATTTACTAACACAAATTCCGGTAAAAATTTTTTAATTAATAATAGTTTTATATATCTTTGTGGATTCAGTGGAAATATAACAGTGGAAATAGGAACCTAACCTTTTGTCATTGATAAAATTAATAATTTACTCAATAATTGTAATTATAATTATAAAAAGTAAGATGCTTGTACACTTTTAATCATTTTTTTATTGATATTGATTTTATAATAGATGCCAATAAACATTAATGTAAACCTTTAATTGATAATGAATAAAATGTAACCCTAATGAGGTTAATTGTGTACGTGAGAAAGTACATACTCCGTACAATCCAACAAAAGCAATGTCGGAGACTGATTTTGTATATGTACATCCTAACAAATCTAATCGATATAATAGCGGAGAAAAATATGAGTTCAAACGTACACAAACGCGAAATTTATCCCAATGCAATTCAAGTAAATTTATTCTTAATTTTGTTTCATTCAATAATATAATATCGTTAGACATAATTTTATTCTATTTAATTATCGATATTATTTTGCCTAACAGTAGAACCATTGGAAAGAAATAATTTTCGAAAAAATCGAGAAAATGAAAGAAAATATCTGGAAAAAGTGAAAGTAGAAAGACAGTTAGCTGCTATCAATGCGAAAAAAAAACCTTGCGATTCAGAAGAAGAAGAAGAAAGAAATACTTTTCGAAAAAATCTAGAAAATGAGAGAAAATATTTGGAAAAACTGAAAGTAGAAAGACAGTTAGCTGCTATCAATGCGAAAAAAAAACCTTGCGATTCAGAAGAAGNGGAAAGAAATAATTTTCGAAGAAATCGAGAAAATGAAAGAAAATATCTAGAAAAACTGAAAACAGAAAGACAGTTAGCTGCTATCAATGCGAAAAAAAAACCTTGCGATTCAGAAGAAGAAGAAGAAAGAAATACTTTTCGAAAAAATCTAGAAAATGAGAGAAAATATTTGGAAAAACTGAAAGTAGAAAGACAGTTAGCTGCTATCAATGCGAAAAAAAAACCTTGCGATTCAGAAGAAGAAGAAGAAAGAAATACATTTCGAAAGAATCTAGAAAATGAGAGAAAATATCTAGAAAAACTGAAAGAAAAACAGTTGGCTATCAAAAAAAAACCTTGCGACGAAATTGAAGAAGAGGATGAAAGAGTTAGTACTTCATGGTTCTATCAATGTTGTAGGAGAAGGAAATTACCTGTGAAAAAAACCCCTCGTAGAAGAAAGCCAACTTTCTGGCAACGCGTCAGAGGAAAATTTAGAAAGAGAAGGGTAAAGAAAGCCACTTTCGAAGATGATGATGAGAAAATCAAACGGAAAAAGAAAAAAGAAAAACCCGAATATGAAATTGACAAGCCAGATAAAGTCGAAGATGTACCTCCTGAAACTAAGGAAATAGATTTCACGAAAAGCTGTTGTTATTTATGCGCGAAAAATACTATGGCAATCGCGGCAGCACTTTCCAAAGGTGAAAAATTTCACATATCTATACAAGCGTCGACAAAAGAAATAGCAACTTCGGACAAAAGCTGCAGTCCAACTATATATGTCAGAACTGTACAATCATCCGTTAAGGTAAGAACGCGCGATATAGGGACTTCGTTCCCTGAGAAGAAAAAAGATAAGAAAATAAAAAAAGTAAAGCCAAAATTTAAAATTCCGAAAAGGCTCCAGGCTATGATCCCAAAATTAAGATTTCCCATGTATCCAAAAGTACAAACGGTTGCTTGTGAAACAGATAAATCGATGATACCACAATGTAGGGCAAGACAAGGAATCAACTGCGTAACGGAAGCCAAAGTAGCAAATATGCAAGCAAAACTGAAAGCTGATAAACTTAATCAAAATTGTACAAATAAGAATTTTGTATAAATTATTTAACGCTATAGTTTCTTTTAATCGTTTTTGATATATACAGTTCAGTACTTTGATATTCAGTTTAACAGAATTTTATGTGAATAATTTATTGCATCAGAGTTATACGAATGTAATATGTCCATTCAATATAAATGAAATAAATTTATATGACAGTTAACAAATTGTAAACCTTGTATATTTTTTATTTATAATTTTTCGCTTATTTCTAGTACAAATAAATAATCTAAACATATTTTATAATATTCAACAGATATATCGTAAAGATTAAAGAAAAACAAAGAATTTTTAAAATTTCTATTTATTATAGTCGCAACTTATGTACACAAAATTTTTATCTTATGCATTTTTGACAACATAAATTTATATTTTACAGTTGAACATTTAATTAGCGAAAATTATTAGTAAAGAAATATGTTACGTATACGTTTCTTCGTTGCATAAAATAACGATAGCGTAGGATAAAATACGATAACGTAAAGTAAGGTAGATTCACTGTTATTTCACACGTATATCAGAATATTATGTTTTGCGAGATCGTCGTCTTAAAGATACATTGTAAAGTCGAGAAAATAACATCCATATTTTTTATATCAAAGATTAAGACATATTAGATATATCGTTTAAAAAGAAACGATGAAAACGATGATGTTCGATATCCCATGTTGATATTCTATACTTGATGTAATCACGAGTAACTATAGACAAGGAAAAGAAATAATGCGACAAGAACAGAAATAGAGTAAAAATAGCGAAATCAACGCCATCTCTAGAGTACCACGAATAAAACTCAATATACAAGGATAAAAAAAACACTAGGATAAAGATAGAATAAAATTAACTACTGGCGCCATCTCTCGATTGTCGAAGATATCTTTTTAAAAGTTGAATAACATAAGATGAGAATTTAGATTCAGCGCCATCTCTGAAGAATTTTTAGAAACTATTTTTGAAGAGATATCTTTAACGATCGAGAGATGGCGCTGGTGGTCAATTTTATCCTATTTCCTAATTTTCTCCAACTATTTTCTGTCCTTATACATTGAGTTTCATTTACGGCACTCTGAAGATGGCGCTGATTTCGGTATTTTTACTTTATCTCTGTCCTTCTCCTACCATTTTCCCTCCTTATCCCATATACTCTATTACAAACGAGATACGGGATACCGACAGAAACACACTTTTATCTTAATCTTTAAGACGTGAAAAATATAGATATTCTCTGCTCTACAATGTGCGCGATTCTACGCTACGTAAAGCAAGCTAATGCTATTTGCGATATATAAACAGCACGGAATACTTTAAGCAAAGTTGTATTGTATGTCGAAAGCTATTAATTCGTGAATTAATTCAATCAAATATCCATGAATACGATCCATAAATAAACGCAATATATTTATGAAAGGATGTATCAAAAATGAAACTATTATTTTTCTTCAACTTTACCAACTTTTGTTTTTTCATCGAATAATATAATTCCTCTCACTCACCGCTCTTTTGCGAGATCTTATAGGAAATATAGAAGAGTTCTATTAAACGTCACGTTTATCCTGTCACCTCATCCGACGACTCAAGTGATCGTATATATCCTTTTACAGGGTATCCGACGACGATACCGGCCGTGGAGGTATCGTCATCGTCATCGCGTTGATATCATCCGACGTTGGATTTCCAAAGACGAGGGGAGCGGTGTAATAGGGTAACAGGGGATACTGTGCCGGCGGAAAGTAGGTTGGCGGGAAAAGTCCTTGCCTCTGAGCGATTTTTAATCTCGATGTAAGCTGCTTCTTCCATTTGGTGCGACGATTTTGAAACCACGTTTTTATCTGTACCTCGGTCAAGTTTAAAGACTTGGACAGCTCCATTCGTTTGCTCACGCTCAAATACTTGTCGATCTGTCGAAAAGAAATCCGTGTGTAATACGATACCAATTTCAATCCTTATCGAAATAATTTTAATCTCTCTCTCTCTCTCTCTCTCTCTCTGTTTCTTCTTCCTCTTTTCCAAGAGGAGTATGCGCAAATGATTCGAACGGCAACATAATGTGTCAAGATAAACGGCACGAAAAAAAAAAAAAAAAAAAAAAAAAAAA